TTTTTAAACATGCTGGCAATTGTTCCCCTCTGTTACATGCTCACTAATCCCAGATATTTGGAGCCACTTTTATAGAAGGCAGCTGTGGAATGTAAAGGAGAATTTATGCGAGGCCTTGAAGGACAGTTCTTGGGGCCCTGCTTGGTTGCTTGTTCTCCTCAAGTCTTTGGGGAGAGAAACATGAAAAACATAGGACTGAACTGAAATGAATGCGATTTTGACAATGAGTAAGATAATTCTCTCTTATGACAAATATCTCTCCCCAAAGTGTACACAAAATTAAGGCAACAGTGAATATCAAAGTGGGTCAAAACTCATTCATGAAATTTTGAACAGGCTTTTCTTTTTTTTTTATTATTATTTTTTTATATATATACAGCCACACAGAGAGGAAGTTCAACTTTGAACCAGATGACAAAATCTTTTGGAGCTGTAACAGTGAAAACTACTTCAGGGAAGAAGAAGAAGAAGAGAAAAAAAGGTATTTTTGTTGATGTTTCAACTATTCCTCCCACTTCCTTCATTGTGTAAATCACTTCCTCTTTTCATGGGCTGTGTGTTCCCATTACTAAAGTAATTACCCCAAGCAGAAAAATTCAAGTGGAAAAAAAGACTCAAGTGTCTTACAACTTCATGTAAACCCAGCACAGAACATCTTAGCCATGTCCACCAGGGGAATTCATCTTTGACCCATTCGACAAGGCCAAAACACAAGTATGGGGTCTAGGCTGGTTTGAGAACATGGCTGCAATATACCACCAGCAGGACATGATAAATTTAGCTTGGAGACTTCCCTCCTAGGCTCATCACTTAGAATCAGAAACTGAGTCACTTAGAGGGAATTTTAAGAAATCACCAGCTCCACAACCTCTGAGCAGAATTAAACTAAATGAGAAGCCATCCAAGTATTGAAGGTTCACAGCGAAGTGTGAGGACCCAGGATTCTGTTCCCAGCACATGGCCTAAGGCCTGTGTCTCAGCATCTTATCCTGCAAATCAAGGACTTTGAGCTCACAGCTTCCTAAATTCCACTCCTGCTTTAACTTTGTGAAGTTACAAAGATGATCACTGGGTGTGTCATGAGCATAGTTTTTGGAAACTCTTTAGGGAGGCTAAACTAAATTTGTGCTGTTATGTTTTCATCCATTTGATGTTTTTGTTTGTTTTTCTGTGCAGTTAGTGTATGGGAGGTGACAGCCCCTTGTAATGAAGCTCATCACCCTTTGGCTTTCTATTCCCCGATTTTAATCTGTTCTTGTGTGGTCTTTTTCCTGTCCTTGTGCTATCCTTATATCTCCTCTGTGAAGTCTTACTAAATTAGAAAAATACATATTCTTATGATCTAAAAAGCCAAATGAAAAGGGAAAGTGAGAAAATTTATCAGACCCTTTGTTTGTTGCCTGATATAAATGTAGTCTTTCCACTGGATAGTGCTAGTAGATTTTGGAAAATCTACTAAAAGGGAAAAGGACAAGGAGAAGAAGGAGAACAAGAAATGTTCTAGGTTATCATTTATTTTAGACAGTTACCATTTTGGAATATTTTCAACCAAAAATCCTTCCGGGGGAGTTGGTTGGGGTTCCTGTGGGAATGAGGGTGATCAGTGTCTCCAAGACAGGTGGCCCTAAAGGGGACAGTCCTTACACTGGGCCAGGTGACATCTGGAAAGGAGAATGACTGCAGGGCCACTGATTCTAACTCTGCATCTAGACTTAAGCGGTAACAAGGACAGAGACTGAGTGTCTGTATCATACTGTGCAGTCAACTTGGCTTGGCAGAAAGGCCAAAAGCTATCTGGGAGTTTCAAGGCTTCTCAAGGCTAGAGAGAGGCTCTGACTACTTCCACTTGTTGAAACTTCCTGATTAAAAACAAAACAAAACAAAACAAAACAAAAAAACATTACTTAATGGAAAAGGAGTTTTTAAAAAAAATTACATAATATTTGAAATCTTTACGTTTAACAAATGAACTCTTCTAACACATAAAAACACAGAAAATGCATGCGTAACCACATTAGGCGATGACACCAGAGTCTGAACGTGAAGCCCTTGGAAAATGACTTCTCCTGTGTGCCACTCCCCCACCTAAGCCCCCCACCCCCCACCCCCATGTAGACCCTGGTCATATTAAACCATAAAAGGTGGGTATTTTGAGGGGAAAGTAAAAAAAGAGCAATACGATTATTCAAACTTCAGCTTTTAAATAATAACTGTGTTGAGGCCCAGGTCACAATACTACCTTTGAGCTACTAAAACTTGGCATGAAAGTACCAGACTTGCTTCTTTGGACCTTTATGAGCTGCCTATACTCTCCCACCAGGATCCCGGAGCAGTCCAGTGTCTTACAGTTTTCTAGGGAAGAGGTTAGAGGCCTTGAAGAACTGCAGGCTGCCTATGGTCATTCTTTCAGTCAATACTGATGAAAAAAATGTCCTCAGGGCCATTTTGGGCTGGTGTGTAAAGGATGTAGTGAGGGATATCTTTGGTCCCTGCTCCAAGGAGCTTACCTTCCCGTCACTGTAGCTGTCTCAACAGAGAATGGTTATCAAGTGCCAGCTCTGTGTGGGGCACAAGGTGTGCTCCTGCCTTCTAGGGGTGTATTAGTTTCCTAGGGCTGCCGTAACAAAGTACCACAGACTGAGTGGCTTAAACAACAGAAATACATTGTCTCACGGTTCTGGAGCCTGGAAGTCAAGATCAAGATGTTGGCAGGTTTGGAAGTTGTGAGGGAGAATCTCTTCCGTGCCTCTCTCATGTGAATTTTGGGAGGAGACAAAATTCAGCTCCTCACAAGGGACCCAGAATGTAGTTCAGAAACAGGATACACACTTAAGAAACAGATAACCACACAGGCAGCATCTGTCAAAGGCCAAACATGGGCACTGGGCTCAGAGAAGGGCATTCTCCCCTAGATATGGAATTGGGGAGAAGGCTTTGTAAAGGAGCTGAAGAACTGACCTGATGTGGAAAGAGAAAAAGGACTTACATGAAGGAGTTAAGTGAGGAAGAGAGGCCTTCCCAACACAAGCCACAAGCCCACAAGTTTAGCTGGAACAAGAAGATGTGGGAGGGTGAACCTGGCGGGTCACATTAAGGAGGACTCCATGGTCCAGGCTAAGCGTGTGGGCTAATCCAGCAGACAACGGGAGCCATTCAAGTCTGTTGTCACCCAGGGAATCCTGTGCCTCAAATCAATAGAAGCAACTTCATGTCAACTATATATTTATTTTATAGTTTCTCATCAGAGCAGACTATTGTCACGCTTTCCAGAGTTCACACAGCAAATTTAAAAACAGTTTCCCACTTTGGATCATTACTTTCAAAGGAAGAAGGTGTTTGGTTGGGGGAGAGTTTGGTCTTTGGTGGAGGAGTTCCACTTGTTGCAAAATAAAGGGCCAGATTGAGCTGATAGACACCAGCCTCCTAAGTGAGGAGTCCAGATGGTTTCCATTTGGTCTCAACTGAAAACAGATGAACTATGTTTTATGCTTGCCCCTTTGTGGATAGGAGGCTTTTGGCCTGCTGCTTGGAAAGTTGAACTCACAATACTATATGAGTCAAAACCCCCATTCAGAAGCTTGGCACCCTTTATTATTCCTCTCCAAGTGTGTAATGACAAGAACTAGACAACTTTACATTTTGCAGTCATTTATAAGTTATTAGAAGAGGCAAAGTAACCCATTTCTATGCTTACAGAAGTTAGACATCTGTCCAAACCAGTCCTCAAAGCACCACTGAACATGACGAATCATTAGATCAGCGGTTCTCAAACTTGAGTGGCATCAGAGGCACGTGAAGGGCTTGTAAAAACACAGATTGCTGCACCCACCCCCACCCCTCCCAAGGTTCTGAATCAGTAATTCTGAGGGTAAGGCTGGAGAATTTGCGTTTCTATCAAGTTTCCATGTGATGCTGATGCTGTTAATCCAGGGTCTAACTTTGAGAACCACTGCTTTAGACTCGAAAGGAAATCAGATTGCCCACTCTTGCTTTATTTTGCTCAGTGAAGAAAATCCAAGGGTAAAGTGAGGCCCCTAGATGCCTCTTGTCTGCCATGGAAACTGCAGAACAAACAGGGCCCAGGCCCATTTCTGTTCCGGTTTCTCTGTCCCTTCCAGATCCAGTCTGGTCCCTTCTGAGCCCCATGGCTCTGTACCAGGGCTCTATGGTAACTGGAGATCTTGGACCCAGAGGGTGATCAATACTCAAGTGAGTGACATCTGGCTTGACCTATGGCTAGTCACAAGCCCATCAGGCCCATAAAGAGCCAGAAGATGGCTGCAGATTGGAAGGCACTGAAAGGTCATTGGAATAGTCATCTGCTGATCAGTTATCTTCCTCGAGCCCCATCAGTCAGTTTTGCCATATCACCTCAAGGCCCCAAAAGTTCCTGAAAGACCCTGCAAAGACTCAGGGGTGTCCTATCGCCTAAGCCTGCTCTGCTTCACAGCCCAAGCCCCACAGAATATGACTTAGACATGTACAAGGAGCAAAGCCCAACCATAAAACGGTCAGTCCACAAGCTTGGGATTGATCAGACAATTACTACAGCACCTATGTCACCTTACTCCAAATAAGGCATTATTGCTTACTCATAGCCATAGTCTGCAGGAATGCTAGCAGAGTTAAGGAGGTCAAGTTCAAAAGTCAAGATGTTATCTTCAAAACAGCTTTATTAGTTCCAAATCAGGAAATTACTGGTTATAATACTGAAATTATTTTACTTGAGATTTTATCCTGGGGTGATAGCTAAACAATATAACCTTTGCAGACAGGGTCCAAGGTCTGAGGTGTGAATCATCCAACACTAATTATACTTTGCTTCCTTAAGACTCACGATCAAGCAAACAGAATTTATGTTCTAGTTTATAAACCTCTAGTAATTACACAGGAAATCACACATGCTCCTTGTTGATGGAAAGAAGCTCTTTTTAACGAGTTAAAAAAAAAATCAACCTCAAGAAGAGGTCCTACCAAGACCTGGCATCCACAGATGAACATTTAAGTAGTAGTTAAGCAAAGCAATCTGATGCCCACCAGAATGTGTGATGTCCACCAATTCTGGTGGTCCCAGAAAAAGCCAGAGAGTGAGGGAAAAAATGAGGTACCTTCTCTGGGGAGCTTCTGGTTCCATGAAAATCTACACTTGACCTTTGGGTGCTGGCCCATGTAGGAAAAAGAGCTCTCTCGGGAAGGAGTGAAAAGAGGTTTATCAACTGGAAAAGAGAGGGCATTCTAGGCAAAGGGAACCACATGAGAAAAGGCTCGGGGGTGAAAGTGCCTGGCATGTTCAGCATATGAGAAACGAGGTGTCCACCACGGAGTGGTCACTGGGAGAATGACTGGAGATGTTGCTGAAAAGGCCAGTGGACCCGCGTGGCCAAAAGCTATCAATGCTGTCGAGGAGTTAGACTTTCTCCTGTGTGTAAAGGGGGCATCAGGATGCTTTTGAAGCAAGAGAACTGGATTTTTAAGAAGAAC